CCTAGATGCTTAAATTAGTGACATGCAATTTAAAAAAAAAATGCAATGTAGACTTTGTGGAGACAAGGCACCAAACGCAGAGGCTTAGGAGGGAGTTAGAGGGTCTCCTCTGGGTRCCGGCAGTACAGAGGAGCCTTGGTTTGGTCAGGGTCTAAGTAGCTTTTGTTTAGCTGATAGCTGCAAACTTTATTTAACTGATAACACATGTTGGGCTCTTGCTGCTTTTGACCTTTTCCAGTTCCACTGCCTTAAAAATAGGGTGTTTATGGGGAGGCTTTGCAGACCCTGTCCAGTCTGGGGAGAGGGGCAGGGGGGTCTCTGTGTCTGGGCCCTGGCTGGGGGCTGGTGTCGGGGGGAGTTGCATGAGGTTCATGTTTGCAACCGTAATGACTCTTGCTCCAGACTGCTTCTAGCAAACTTGCAGCACAGCCACCCTGGGCAGGAACTGCTTTTTCCGGAGCTTTTTTTGTTTTTATTTCTTGTTTTTGTGGTTTTTTTTCTCACTATAGTTTTATTGCAGTTTGGATTTTTGGAGCATATAAAATACCACTGAATTGGCGACAGAAAAGGGGGAGAGTTTTGGAGCACCAGCTCTAGCTTAACAAATGCAAAAATGGGCTAGGGAATACAAGAAAGAAACAAAAATAGGTGCTTTATGCCCTGATTTTGGCTGTTCCTTGCAGAAGGGGGAGGTCCAGGTCGGCATTGATCTGCTTTTTCCAGTACCATTTCCCTCGTGCTATGCTGTATTGGGAGGAGGCTGTGGGGGATGTTTGGGGAGACCCTGGAGATTGTTGCATGAAAAGCAGAAAACTTTCTGGAAAAGCAAGGATGCGGGTAGAAAGATACTCTTTATTTTGAATAAGAAGGCCAACTTTGATATAAAAATGGGAAATGGCGCATTTGCCTCCTACACTCCCCATTCCCCGAGTGTTATCCAGAGCCGAGTAGAAAAGCATGAGTTGGGATGGGAAGAAGAGCCAACCCATCTGGTGCTGTCTCCAGAGTCTGTGAAATCTCCCATTACTCGGCTATCGGGAAGCTCCGTCTCTGACAGGCTGAGTCAGTTAAGTGCAGACCTTGCAGGAAATTATTTGTTTTTTGATTCTTGACAAGAAGTCAACAGAGAGGACCTTYTCCAGGGGAAGCAGCCTTCCTGGCAGGAGGCAGCTGTGTCGGGGTGCATATGTGCATAGTGTGAGAGTGCTCAGAAGGATAAAAATGCCTCTGGTCACATTTCTTCAGGAAAACATARTTAGGGGAAACCGATAGGTAGCAAAGGATGTGGAGGGGTCACTCCTCAGTGCGAGGGCCATGGATCGTGCCCATCTTCTGGGGCTCAGGTTGGTAAATGCTGTTAGGTGCTTGGTGTCTC